GAACAAGAACCCATAGCCCCCGCACCACCCAATCTCTCACACAGCAACAAAACCTAATTAAAAACAGTTTTACCTTGAAGAAAAGTTCTACGTTTTGCAAAAGATCACAGCGAATGGAAACACTGTCGTCCCTCTCTTACACTCTCTTCACAATGACTTGTATGTATGAGTAGAGTATGGATGGATGGATGGTTGGATGGCTGAGAACTGTAATTGTCCCCCATTTAATAGGAAAAGTACCCCCTCCCAACCCCAACAATTCTACCGTAAGTTTGTAATAATAAGCTTTTAACTAGAGCACAAAATTGTAACAGTGTTTTGCTTAGTTTTGTTTTGGAATGGAATGGGAGAGGGAGAATATTTAAACTCACCATTGAAGAGAAAATTCTGTGGGTATATTTATTTATAATTGAGAAGAAAGAATTTCTATTTCCCTTCTTTGGGGTGCGAATGGTGTGATTTGATACCAGACGGAAATAATGACACATTATATTAACTCCAATCAAAACAATTTGCAAATGCGTGAAATTACTTTAATTAAAGCAGTACCAAAGATATTTGTGTTCACACGTATGTTTGGTGGGGGAAGGGGATGGCACAGAAGTTGGATATGCGTACCCCTTTGGAATACGAATGAATAACAGTACTAATATCAACTGGTATATCATCCCACATTGTTTGAGGGGTATATTAAATGGGTAATTTTCTTTGCATATCATCGAAATTATCCTTCATGTTCCCTTATGTGACATGGAAAGAACTTTATACTGGTCACACAAATGGCAGAGTAAACTTCTTCCCATCTCACGATGATTGCAAGGTTGAATAACTTTGTAAAAAAGAAGCCTAACTGTATGAATTCATATATTTGCAATAAACTCTTTTGCTTACTTGGCTTTTGACTACATAAACAAAAAATGCGAAAAAAAAAATTATAAAATCTCAAGGTACCTATAAAAGATCAAGTTGTATACAGTTTGTCAACTAAATGTTGGCAAAACAAATATGGTACACAATTTTAAATAAAATGCAATTTTATTCTTATAAATAAATATATTAAATAACTATTTCGTCAGCGAAAAGTCTTTTTATACCCTCCACCATAAGTTTGTCATTCCATTTGTAACACCTCGAATTATACATGTTAGACCCCACAAAGTATATATTCTTGATCAGCATAAAATTCTATGTCGATTTAGCGATGTCCGTCCATCTGTGAAAATCACTCTGGCTTCCGAACGAAAGGAAGGAAGTAGATGCAGGACTTTTGGTATTGAAAATGGGCCAGGTAGGTCCACGTTTTGGTATAGCGCCCATATAACGGTACCTTCCGATATTCGGTATTTTGATGATTTTAGCGACATTATTCAGCGAAATTGTTTCAAATTTCGTATTTGAAGTTTGAAATGGATACTACAACCTAAGACAGAAATTTGTCTGTGCAGGACAACGTCTTCGTAACGGTACCTCCCGACCAAATGCACAATGGACCCATATACAATTTTCCCCCCAAAACAATTTCAACGTCTTCATATGTAAACCATAGAAAGCAAAAGTGGCCTCAATATCAACATTTCAGAATTTCAGCTCTATCACTTCACCAAATATAGTAACATTTAGTAAGCATATCCGAAACCTTTCTCCATCCACAATCACATATCGACAGAGACCTCAATATTAAATTTTGGAATTCCAATCTGGTACCACTTGGTTTTTTTCGAATAATTATAGCAGATATACAGGGTGAGATGAAAAAACTGCAACCAACTTCAGACTGCTGTCATTTCTAAGCCACTCGTCCGACAGATGTTAAAATTATTCCAGTTACATTTTGCATTTTGCTGAGAATCTTCCAGAAAAAAAGTTATTCGTGATGGAATTCAAGCGTGATAGTGTGATTTCTTTATATTTTGCTGGAAAACCACAAGTGGCTACCGCTAGAGCACCCGAGCATTTAAATATGAATAAATCTTTTGTGTCTCGTAACATCGCTCCGTTGCCGTGATACTGGTAGCATAGCCCGACGTCAAGGAAGTGGACGGCAGAAAACAGCAAGATCGGTAGAAATGGTTCGAAAAGTAAAGAAGCGACTTGATCGAAACCCGCGCCGCAGTGGCCGAAAATTGGCTCGTGAGCTGAACATATCGCAATATTCCATTTGGCAAATATTAAAAAATTAACTCGGGGTAGAGCCATTGAAATTCCAAAAAGTGCAAGAACTTACACCGCAGCAGAAAGAAAATAGACTCATAAGAGCTAAAGAGTTGCTTCGCTTGGCCGAAAGTGGTGAACTGCCGCATTTGGTTTTATCCGATGAGAAAACATTCGCTGTCCAGCAGTTTGTAAAAAAAAACAAAATGATTGTGTTTACTTGCCAAAGAGGTCAGCTGAAAATGTGCACCTTCGATTGGCCACCAGAACTCAAGCGCCGGCCATGGTAATGGTGCGGGCCGCCATAACAACCGATGATCGCTCTCCGCTCGTATTAATCGGCGGTGGCATCAGAATAAATACGAAATATTATCGAGCAAATATTCTGGAGGGTGTATTAAAGCCTTGGCCACGAAACATTTTGGCCGCAAATCTTGGACATTCCAACACCATTGCACTTAGCACGCGGCACTCAAGAATGGTTACAAAATGAGGTTCCTCGCTTCATTTCCAGCTCACAATGGCCACCAAAATCTCCGGATACCAATCCGTTGGACTATTGTGTCTGGAGTATTTTGGAATGCAAGGTTGGCACTAAAAAATACCAAAGTGTCGATCTCTTCAAGCAAGCGCTTCGCCAAGAATGGGCCAAAATACAGCAGAGCAACATTCAGGCAGTGTGTGACGGTTTCATTGGCCGTTTGAAGGCCATAATTCAATTCGAAAGATGACCAATTCGAATAAATCGAAAATTATTCTAAAATTTGATGCTATTTCCGAAATGTTTTGCTTTCATTCAATAAAATTTAAAAAAAAATCTAAAAATTATGGATTTTGACTTTGTTGTGGTTTTTTATACCCTCCACCATACTATGGAGGGTATATTAATTTTGTCATTCCGTTTGTAACTCCTCGAAATAGTCATGTCAGACCCAACAAAGTATATATATTCTTGATCAGCGTAAAATTCTAAGACGTCTGTCTGTCTGTGTGTCTGTCCGTATGTCTGTCTGTGTGTCCGTCTGCCTGTCTGTCTGTCTGGTCGTCTGTCTGTCTGTTGTAATCACGCTATCTTTCGAACAAATCGAGATAGAAGGCTAAAATTTTGCACACATGTATATTTTGCAAGTAGGCAGGTTAAGTTCGTAAATGGGCCATGTAGGTCCAAGTTATCATATAGCCCCCATATTCGGTATTTGGATGATTTTAGCGACATTATTCAACGGAATTGTTTCAAATTTGGCATTTGAAGTTCGTAATAGATACTACAGCCTAAGACAGAAAATTATCTGTGCAGGTCCACGTCTTCGTATAGCCCCCATAGCGATTTTAGCGATATTATTTACCGGAATTGTTTCAAAATTCGCATGTGAAGTTCGTAATGGATACTTCAGCCCATACCAGATAATTGTCTGTGCAGGTCCACGTCTTCGTATAGCCCCCATATACCGGTACCCTCTATATTCGGTATTTTGATGATTTTAGCTACATTATAAACAAATTTTTCTTCAAGTTCCGCATTTAAATATTGTAATAAATTATGACAAAAGTTACCTATGCAGGTCTACGGCGTTGTATAAGAATTCGGTATTTTTAAGATTTTAACAGAATTTTCAACGGATTTTAATATTATTTTGGTGGAGGTTGGAGGGTATTAAAAGTTCGGCCCGGCCGAACTTACAGCTTTTTTTACTTGTTTTTATCTCGCCCTGTATGGGACACATTTCCGAAACCACTCCCATATGTCCAGATTACACACGAACAACGACACTTATACCAAATTGCACATTTCAAGCTCTATCTCTTCTCCCAATACCAAATTGTACCAAATACAGTACCATTTGGTATTTTTCAAGCACTTGTACACATTTTCAGAAACTCCCCTTTATCGCAAACCTACCACCAACTGGGACCCCAATACAAATTTTTAAAATTCCAGCTTTTCCATTCACTGTAAACCAAACTGTTCCCAATTTAGTACCACTTATTACAGTTCGCACACTTGGTGCACATTTTCAAAATCAGCTTCATATATCATAATTACTTTCCAACCTTGATTCCCATACCAAATTTCAAATTTCTAGCTCCATCCGTTTGCATAATACCAAATTGTACCATTTTAGAAGTTTAGTACCATTTGAGAACATTTCGTAACCTTAAAGTTTGAACTTCCAAAAAACTCTTCAGCACATATATCCTACACTCTATCAGCTACTCCCATTCAAAATTTAAGAATTCTAGCTCATTCCGTTTGTCCAATACAAAGTATTCAATTTTTAGTACATTTAGTACAAATTCCCAAAAACAAAAAAACCTTACCACACGCCAACGCACCAAGACTGACCCACGAGCAAAATTTTACGTAAGCTTACACTCAGTACACATTTCAAAAACAACATCAACACTAGGTGCCCACCTTCATTCTTATACCAAATGGTACAAAATATAGTACTTTTTAGTACACTTTAGGTTCGAGTTTCATTAAAACCCATTAGCGACCTTCATCCCAAATTTCAGAATTCCACCCTTTTAGGTTTGAGAATAGACAATGGATTTAATTTTTGGTACCATTTAATACTTTTTGGTACATTTACGAATAAAATAATATCTTATATCCGTCTCCTGTCACTAAGCTATCTCCTCATCAATTTCCAGCCATATCGCTAAAGCCGCTCTTGAATTATAAATAGTGTAACACCCTACGACAAATTAACCCTTTTCACTTTCTTCAAATAAGAAATTAAGAGTTGCAAAAAGTAAGAGAGAGAGCGAACAAGAGAGTGAGTACAAAACACACTCTTCCCTTGGCATTGTTTCAAAACTAACAACAACACTTGTTTACTACTTACATTTTAATGTTTGTTGCAACTCCAAAATAAATTATTGCAATGGGGTATTTGATTTGAATTATTGGTGGTCACAGAAATAAAAATAAACTTATATTTTTTTTAATTATTTCTCTTTTTATTTTAAAGCAAAGCTGTGTTTCATCATCTTTCCATAGACTGGGATTAACTTTTGCTTGACACTTGTCATTGCATTTTGCCTTTTTTCTTTTTATGATTTTTTTTATTTTTTATTTCTTCTTTTTTTTTGAAAACCTTTTCTACGGACGTCAGCAAAAAAACACAATTTTTTTTGTCGAAACAGCTTTCAATGTGAAAACACTTGGCCAGACGGACGGGAGCAGCCAGCGGCTAGCTAACCTAGCTATTTAACACATTCACACGCGCGACGTTTTGAAATCTTCGGTTTATCATTAATTTTTTTCTATTTTTCGTTTTGTTACTTTTGGTTTTGTTTTAATACAAATAAAGCTTTTGTTGGTTTTTTTTTAATATTTAAACACATTGGTAAATATATTTTTATATATTATAGGTATTTTTCTATACATAAATTATATATTAAAAAAAAACTTTCTTATTTTTCTTTTAATAAATTTCAAAACTTGGTGTTTCCATTTCCATTTTGTGTTGATTGTTTAAAAACCGATAATATTTAAACACGTCTGCAGCTGTGTGTGTGTGTGCGTTTTGTATATAAACATTCGCTGTTGTCGTGTTTTAAATTTCGTTTTTGTTTTTTGCGTTTTATTCACTTCGTTTTGTTATTTATTTATTTACTTTTTTCATACACGTAGCACTGCACACTCGCTCTCACACACACGCACCTATCTCGTTTCATTCGTTTTTTTTTTTTTCTTTTTTATTTTATTTTTTTTTTTTTTTGTTAATAACAATTGTGTTTAGTAACAGAGTGACAGCAGTGAAACCACGTAAAAAAACACAGCAGCAGCAAAAGCAGCAGAACTTATAGAAAGAAGATAGATCCAAAGAGGAACCCCCAAAACTTAACAACACACAAATAAAATCGAATAATAACAACAAATTCAAATTAAAACGAAAAAACAACACAAAATACGCGCGCGTCTGTGTTGCGTTTTATTTATTTTTCTGGTGCTGCTGCTGCTTGTACAAATGTTTTGGTTTTTTTGTGTTTTGTGAGATAGCCGTTTTTTCCGTTACCCATTCACACGAAGCTTAAACGAAGGTCCGTCTACGATGCGCTTGAGACAACGGTTTCAACACGAATGAGTAGAAAAATTGTCAAACGTCAGCAGATAGCACACAACAACAGAGGGTTTTTTTTGGGTTCGTAGTGTGGTGTTGGTGAGAGTGACCAAAGAAAGCCTAGATAAGTGAAATAACAGTAACAGTTTCCTGAAGAGTAACAATTGTTGTATTGGAACAAGAGAGAAAGAGAAACAGCAATTCAACAGGAAATAAGAGTACTGGATATTGGAATGTTATGAAGAGAGGAGTGAAGGTTAAATCATAACGTATTTTTAAATGATTGGATCAAGGTAGATGTACTAGGTAATCGCATCAGCCCAGCTGACGGCACCATTAAATGTCAAAACAAATTGTTGTAATGAAGAATTCGCCCTAAATGAATGCAACAACAAATTTGTTTATGTTGTCTTCCAAGGTAGATGTACTATGTTAGATGTTAGATCTACCTTGGTTGTCTTCCCTAAAAGTAACTTTTTATAATATTTTAAATAATTTAAGAGCAAGTTTAGAGTAAAACTAGTATAAAAATTAAAAGAAAATGAAGGAAGGAGGTTAGAATGGAGTGCAGCTTTAAGAATTAAGTTAGCCTCAACATCTAAGATTTCCAAAGCACATCACGAGAAGTAGTGCAAGAATTCGACTCTTGCCATTTGCAGTCCCGGAAAACTTGCGGTTTAAACCAGTAAAATATAGTCATTATAAGTTTCTGGGTTTAAAAAATATCGCAATTAATACTTATTTTACTCTTATTTGTTTTACAATAAAAACTTTTATTGCGACGTTCTTTTACGACGAGAGGCACACAAAATAAAATGTAAACAAACACCTCGTTTCTGATTGGTTGAAACAAATTTGCCGCAACCTTTAAATGTCATGGCGAATCTATGTTTTTCGCCTTAGATGCCAATTTTGACATTTGAGGGGACCACAAAAGTTGCTTTGTTGTAGCAATTCGCCGATGCGGTTACCTGTTAGATCTACCTTGGATTGGATCAAATGGAAAGAGAATAACGAAAAACTGTGTATAGGATCTTTAAGCATATTTATGAGGGACTTTTAGACAAAATAAACGTGGATTTTTAAACATATTTTCAGAGGGACATAAAGACTAATAAACGTGGATTTTTTTAACATATTTTCAAATGGACATAAGGAACAATAAATCTGGATTTTCTAAACATATTTTCAGAGGGACTTATAGACCAATAAACATTTTTCCAGATGGACTTATAGACCAATAAACGTGGATTTTTAACCATAGATCAATAAAGGTACATTTTTTAAACAAATTTTTGGAGGGACCCATAGACCAATAAACGTGGATTTTTTAAACATATTTTCAGAGGGACATAAAGACCAATAAACGTGGATTTTTTTAAACATATTTTCAGAGGGACATAAAGACCAATAAACGTGGATTTTTTAAACATATTTTCAGAGGGACATAAAGACCAATAAACGTGGATTTTTTAAACATATTTTCAGAGGGACATAAAGACCAATAAACGTGGATTTTTTAAACATATTTTCAGAGGGACATAAAGACCAATAAACGTGGATTTTTTAAACATATTTTCAGAGGGACATAAAGACCAATAAACGTGGATTTTTTAAACATATTTTCAGAGGGACATAAAGACCAATAAACGTGGATTTTTTAAACATATTTTCAGAGGGACATAAAGACCAATAAACGTGGATTTTTTAAACATATTTTCAGAGGGACATAAAGACCAATAAACGTGGATTTTTTAAACATATTTTCAGAGGGACATAAAGACCAATAAACGTGGATTTTTTAAATATATTTTTTAAATATATTTTCAGAGGGACATAAAGACCAATAAACTTGGATTTTTTAAATATATTTTCAGAGGGACATATAGACCAATAAACGTAGATTTTTTAAACATTTTTTCAGAGGTGGATTTTTTAAACATTTTTTCAGAGGGTTATAAAGACCAATAAACGTGGATTTTTCAAACATTTTTTTAGAGGGTTATAAAGACCAATAAACGTAGATTTTTAGAGGGACATAAAGACCAATAAACGTGGATTTTTTAAACATTTTTTTAGAAGGTTATAAAGACCAATAAACGTAGATTTTTAGAGGGACATAAAGACCAATAAACGTGGATTTTTTAAAAAAAATTTCAGAGGGTTATAAAGACCAATAAACGTGGATTTTTAGAGGGACATAAAGACCAATAAACGCGGATTTTTTAAACATTTTTACAGAGGGTTATAATAACCAATAAACGTGGATTTTTTAAACATTTCTTTAGAGGGTTATAAAGACCAATAAACGTGGATTTTTAGAGGGACATAAAGACCAATAAACGTGGATTTTTCAAACATTTTTTCAGAGGGTTATAAAGACCAATAAACGTGGATTTTTAGAGGGACATAAAGACCAATAAACGTGGATTTTTCAAACATTTTTTCAGAGGGTTATAAAGACCAATAAACGTGGATTTTTAGAGGGACATAAAGACCAATAAACGTGGATTTTTCAAACATTTCTTCAGAGGGTTATAAAGACCAATAAACGTGGATTTTTAGTGGATTTTTTAAACATTTTTTCAGAGGGTTATAAAGACCAATAAACGTGGATTTTTAGTGGATTTTTTAAACATTTTTTCAGAGGGTTATAAAGACCAATAAACGTGGATTTTTAGTGGATTTTTTAAACAATTTTTCAGAGGGCTATAAAGACCAATAAACGTGGATTTTTTAAACATTTTTTCAGAGGGTTATAAAGACCAATAAACGTGGATTTTTTAAACATTTTTTCAGAGTGTTATAAAGACCAATAAACGTGGATTTTTTAAACATTTTTTCAGAGGGTTATAAAGACCAATAAACGTGGATTTTTTAAACATTTTTTCAGAGGGTTATAAAGACCAATAAACGTGGATTTTTCAAACATTTTTTCAGAGGGTTATAAAGACCAATAAACGTGGATTTTTTAAACATTTTTTCAGAGGGTTATAAAGACCAATAAACGTGGATTTTTTAAACATTTTTTCAGAGGGTTATAAAGACCAATAAACGTGGATTTTTTAAACATTTTTTCAGAGGGTTATAAAGACCAATAAACGTGGATTTTTAAACATTTTTTCAGAGGGTTATAAAGACCAATAAACGTGGATTTTTTAAACATTTTTTCAGAGGGTTATAAAGACCAATAAACGTGGATTTTTTAAACATTTTTTCAGAGGGTTATAAAGACCAATAAACGTGGATTTTTTAAACATTTTTTCAGAGGGTTATAAAGACCAATAAACGTGGATTTTTTAAACATTTTTTCAGAGGGTTATAAAGACCAATAAACGTGGATTTTTAAACATTTTTCAGAGGGTTATAAAGACCAATAAACGTGGATTTTTTAAACATTTTTTCAGAGGGTTATAAAGACCAATAAACGTGGATTTTTTAAACATTTTTTCAGAGGGTTATAAAGACCAATAAACGTGGATTTTTTAAACATTTTTTCAGAGGGTTATAAAGACCAATAAACGTGGATTTTTTAAACATTTTTCAGAGGGTTATAAAGACCAATAAACGTGGATTTTTTAAACATTTTTTCAGAGGGTTATAAAGACCAATAAACGTGGATTTTTTAAACATTTTTTCAGATACCTTTAAATGCTAATATTTTGCATTTTATGGAAAAATACAACGGACATACACCAGTTTAATATGAGAAACGCCGTTCACACTACAACTGCGGCTACGAATTTACACACACATATATGGAACGCCTTCCATTCTCAAATACAGGCTTGGTATTTTAATCAAGACACTGGCTCCTTTCAGTGTATTGTAACATTGAACCAATGCATTGTGCATTTGCTTATGACTAGTAGTTGCAGAGAATTTGTGCAAAAAAAAATTAATTTGACAATTATAAAAGTTTACAAAGAAACGCCTCATTTCTTGCTATCACAAAGACCAATCAAATCTTCTCAAAATGGCTGACGATTGGCAATCGCAAAAGATACGACAGAATATCATCAATAAAATGTAAGTTCATGCCAGTCCTCGGAAGCAATTGCATGCTGAACCTGATGATTTTTCTTCCTTTCCTTAGCAATGATTTGTTGCAGAACACTGGCCAGGACATTTCAAAGGCACGCGTTATGGAAAATCACATATTTAAGAAATCCAAGAGCAAAGATGAATATTTGGGCATGGTGGCAAAGCTATTTACGCATTTCAAAGGCATGCCAAATAGTTGGTCAAACCAATCCTTTATTGTTGCACGCAACTATAATTTTTGTAACTCATTTTAGGGAGGCCCCAACAGGCACCACCACCAAATGCTGAAGTTCCACAACAAAACATGATGCAAGATCCGCTGAATGCCTTGCAGAACTTGGCCAGCCAAGGCAATCGTAATCCCCAAATGATGTCAATGCCGGGTGGGGGGCCTAATGCTCAACAAGGTGGTCAAGGGCCAAGTGGTCCTGTGCCAGCCTCAAACCTTTTGCAAACCCTAAAGCAACAACGTCCGGGCCAGCAAATGCAACAGATGCCAGGACTTAGAACACAGATGGTCATGGGCGGCGCTGTGGGACCTGGGCAACAACAGGTCAACATGGGACCGGGCCAGCAGCAAATGATGGGCGGCCCCATGGGAGTGCAAATGAATGTTATGGGTGGACCAAATCTTGGTCCGAATCAGCAAATGGTGGGAAATACACAAATGGGTGGTGCCACGGGTGGGCCAGGCAATGTAGGTGTCGGCCCTGGTGGTCCCCAAGGAATGGTCCCAGGACAAATGAACCAAATGGGTGGTCCTGGTACTGTGGGGCCAATGGGTCCCAATGCCGGACCTGGTGGGCCAAATCAAATGCAAATTGGAATGCAACATCCGCAGCTGAATCAAATGATAAATGCACGCATGAATCAAGGAGGTCCAGGGGGACAAATGAATGTGGGTGGGCATGCTGGACCCAATCAAGGTATGCAGGGTTTGCCACCAAATATGCAACAGAATCAAGCTGGCGTTGGTGGTGCAGGTGGTGGACCCATGCACATGGGCAATATGGGGCAGGGAAATGCAAGCCAAGGGCAGGGACCAGGTGCAATAGCAAATAATGCGGGGCCACAAGGTATGTATCAGATATTCTTTACTCGAAGAATTACTTGTAATCATTTTGCATTTAGGCAACCTTAATCAAATGTTAAATATGCCCCCCGGAATGCAAAAGAATCCCAATATCACTATGGGTCAAGGACAACAAATGTTTAATGTTAATCGCGGAGTAGGGGGTCAACAACAGTTCTTACGTCAAAGTCCCTCACCCAGTACAGTTGCGTCGCCAGCTAGCTCTCTCAATGTACAACAACAACAGCAGCAGCAACAACAACAACAACAAATGCAGCAACAAGTTGTAAATAACCAACAGCAAATGCAACAGCAGGCGAATCAAAATGTTGTACAACAAAATACAATACCCAACCAACAAATGATACCCAGTCCTGCCCTGGTACCCATTGCAAGTCCACAAATGTCAGGCCTTATGCAAAATCCCAATCAACGTCAACAAATGCGCCATTCACCAAGCGCATCCATTAATACACCCGGCCAGGTGACCCAAAATAGTCCCTTTAATCCCCAAGAAGATCAGTTATACCGTGAAAAATACAAACAGTTGACCAAATACATTGAACCGCTGAAAAGGATGGTGGACAAATTACGCATTGATGGTAACAACAATGCTGAGAATTATAAGAAGATGAACAAACTTTTGGAAATTCTAAAGAATCCTTCGCAAAGAGTGCCTTTGGAAACCCTGTTGAAATGTGAAAAGGTTTTGGAGAACACCGACATGGACTCGTATTCAGATCACTCATTTGGGGTATGTATTGCTAGCTTATTTGTGGGAGTATTAAAATGTCTAAATTATTTACTTTGTAGAAATCTTCGAATCCCCTTATGGAAGTCATCAATGCAACTCTACAAAGTCCCATGGCAAATCACACTCTATATCGCACATTCAGACCCAGCCTTGAATTGCTTTTTGGCACCGACATTGCCGCACCACCAGCCAAAATGCCAAGACCTGCCGAAAAGCCACCGAAGGGTGATTTAGAAATACCACATGTGCTGCAGGGCGAAATTGCACGATTAGATAAAAAGTTCAAGGTTAGCCTGGACCCTGCAGCACAAAATAATCCCGAGTCCATACGTTTGATTTGTTGCCTAGATGATAAGAAATTGCCTTGTGTACCTCCCGTTAGCATTAATATACCGGGTAAATATTAACGGTTTTAAATATGAAAATAATTATTAACCTCTTTATTTTTAGAGGATTATCCTTGGTCCTCACCAGAATGTTCTCTCATCGAGCATGATTATTCGGCAACGCCCTTCTTAAAGGCCGTACAAAATGCCTTGGTGGCTCGTATTGCCAAATTGCCCAAATTGCATTCATTATCCCATTTACTGGACACATGGGAAATGTCGGTACGCCAGGCATGTTCACCAAACGCCGCAAAACCAATTTGTGAATTTACTGCATTGTTTGGAATGTAAAGACTTTGATAGAATACGCTAACTAAACTAATCAACTCAGACAATTTTTTTTTAGAATATATACCTAAAGTGAATTCTACTATTCCATGGAATTGTAAATAAATTAACTTGAAAATAAGGTACATGTCTATGAAAAAATAATTTTTTACCTAGATATATTTATCAAAAATATGTTAATTAAGTAAATTTTATTTTGTTTACAGCTCATAATGATTTAAGCAACATATTTTTTCAAAATTCAAGAAACTATTCACATAATACCTTCAAGAAATTCAAGACTCTAAATTAAACTAAAAGGTGAGTTTTATTTATCGTTTTAGTGTTATATCATCATGACACATATACATGACTATTTATAAGGGTTATCTGAGGGCGGCCTGGACCCTCTTCCTAATGCTAATTTTGTTTTTGAATGTATTACTTAAAAATTCCATTTTTTTTTTTTATCTGTTGGGCCCGGCCAAAATAGTTGTGATAGACAACTCTGGCTGCGTCGGTGATGGACAGCATAAATATTATTTCAATTATCTACGAAGTTTGTGCTATTAAATACAACGAGGTACTTATATTATTCCCGCAATATTTGGTATTACAAATGGAATACCTACCGGTCCATATAAAAGTGATATTCGACATTTGAAAGGCTTTGATCTAAAATTTCAATCAAAATCAGCTGTAATTAACATTTTTGTTCTCAATGGATGCTTCTAATCGGTTTCAACTAATCCGGTAATAAGGTACATCCCTTTACGATATTTTCGAGGTTCTTGGCTGTCTTAGTTTACGATATTTCTTGAGGTTTCCGTCCCAATTCCTTACTAAATCAGCTGAAGTTGAATATTTTGAGTTCTCATTGAGTAGACTAACTTATCATAAAAGTATTCAGGCTAAGCACCCACATATCAGAACTTCCAAATTTTAAAGATTCCGAGTACAGCCGATTTGTCTGTATATGCAGATTTTACTTGTCATTTTTATGACTCTCCCTGTACTAGCAAATCTCTTGAGATCCGCATCCATTTAATTTGTATGCCCCATTATAGCCTCATAACCACTAATATTGGCCTGGAACATATATATGTATGAGGGACTTTCTTTCCTGGATCAAATTACAGCAGTGGATTCATTAGCTATTGTGTGTAAGGTTATGCTTTTTATTAATACTTGCAAACTTTAAAAAGGTCCAACAATTCTTTATTTTTCCATTTCAATATTTTTGGAATTAATAGCTTTTAAGGAATTAATAGATTTTGGAAGACAGCGTTGCTTTCTTTAATTCACATACCAAATGGCGCGCTTTTCCTACTTCTCTATCTCTTTCACTCTGCCAGTTGAATAGTAACGGACAGTAAAACCAAGTCAGTGCAGTCAACGCCGTTGAGTCACAACAAGGAAAGCGCCGTTAGTATTACAGCCTTTGGCTTGTTATTTACAAATGGAGATCATTTCAGTGAATAAATTCGTTGAAACGTTTCTTGTTTGCTTACATTGGAAATTTGTTTATAAAGAATAGATGTAATAAAAATTGTGAAAAATTGCAAATTTCTTCATATTTTCTCCTATATCTCACTGAGATCACTTGGAAATACTCAAGAAACACCAATAGATAATTACATTGGAAAATGGCTGAAGATTGGCAGTCGCCAAAATTCCGACAAAATGTCATCAATAAAATGTTCGTTTTGTGAATTTCACTTAATTTATTGTTGCTAAAAGAAATAATGCGTATTTTCCCTCTCCTTCTCACAGTGAAATGATGCAGATTACCACGCAAGAGGGCAAGAATGCAAGCTTTATGGAAAATCACATATTTTCGAAATCCAAAAGCCAAGATGAATATTTGGGTTTGGTGGCAAAATTGTTCATGCATTTGAAAGAATTGGCGAATAGTAGGTCAATGAAATCATTACATTTTTCATATAATTTCATTTTGCTGTTACCTTTGTTTAGGAAGACCCCAACAGGCCCCGCCACCAAATGTTGAAGTATCCCAGCAAAATATGATGCAAGATCCGCTAAATGCCTTGCAGAACTTAGCCAGTCAAGGCAATCGGAATCCCCAAATGATGTCCATGCCGGGTGGAGGACCTAATGCTCAACAAGGTGGTCAAGGGCCAAGTGGTCCTGTGCCGGCCTCAAATCTATTGCAAACTTTAAATCAACAACGTCCGGGCCAGCAAATGCAACAGATGCCAGGTTTAAGGCCACAAATGGCAATGGGCGGTGCTGTAGGTCCCGGACAACAACAGGGCAACATGGGACCGGGCCAGCAACAAATGATGGGTGGACCCATGGCGGTGCAAATGAATATGATGGGTGGGCCAGGTGTTGGTCCCAATCAACAAATGGTGGGAAATGCTCAAATGGGTGGTCCCTCAGGTGGACCCGTCGGTGTTGGTATCGGCCCTGGAGGTCCCCAAGGTATGACAGGACAAATGAATCAAATGGCTGGTCCTGGTACAGTGGGGCCAATGGGCCCTAACGCAGGACCTGGTGGACCAAACCAAATGCAAATGGGTGTGCAACATCCACAGCTTAATCAAATGATGAATGCCCGTATGAATCAGGGAGGCCCAAACGGACCAATGAATGTGGGTGGTCATGCTGGACCCAATCAAGGTATGCCACCAAACATGCAATCGAATCAAGTTGGCATTGGTGGCACAGCTGGTGGACCAATGCATATGGTTAATATGGGACCAGGCAATGCTAACCAAGGTCAGGGACCAGGCCCAATGGCAAATAATGCAGGACCACAAGGTATGTATCATATTTTTTGTTTTGGCTTTAAAAAGAGATATTACTTATTTGTTTCCTCATTTAAGGTAACCTTAATCAAATGCTAAATATGCCCCCGGGCATGCAAAAGAATCCGAATATTACCATGGGCCAGGGACAACAAATGTTTAATGTTAATCGCGGTGTAGGTGGTCAACAACAGTTTTTGCGTCAAAGTCCTTCGCCCAGTACCGTTTCGTCGCCAGCTAACTCGCTTAATGTGCAACAGCAGCAACAACAACAGATGCAGCAACAAGTTGCAAACAATCAACAGCAAATGCAACAGCAGCCAAATCAAAATATCGTCCCCCAAAATACAATACCCAACCAACAAATGATACCCAGCCCTGCCCTGGTACCCATTGCAAGTCCACAAATGTCAGGCCTAATGCAAAATCCCAATCAACGTCAACAAATGCGCCAATCGCCGAGTGCACCAGTTAATACACCCGGTCAGGTGACGCAAAACAGTCCCTTTAATCCCCAAGAAGATCAATTATATCGTGAAAAATACAAACAATTAACCAAATACATAGAACCCCTCAGGCGAGTGGTGGACAAACTGAGGATTGATGGTAACAACAATGCTGAGAATTATAAGAAGATGAACAAACTTTTGGAAATTCTTACAAATCCCTCGCAGAGAGTGCCACTGGAGACTCTATTAAAATGTGAAAAGGTTTTGGAGAACACCGACATTAACTCGTATTCAGATCATTCCTTTGGCGTAAGTTTTGGCATCAAAATCCTTTGAAATTTCTTATTTGTTAACTATTTGTTTTATAGAAATCCTCAAATCCCTTAATGGATGTGATAAATGCCACTCTACAAAGTCCTTTGGCAAATCACACATTGTATCGCACATTTAGACCCAGCCTTGAATTACTATTTGGCACAGATATTGCCGCTCCACCAGCCAAAATACCAAGGCCTGCAGAAAAGCCATCCAAGGGTGATTTAGAAATACCACATGTGCTGCAGGGAGAAATAGCACGATTAGATCAGAAATTCAAGGTTAGCCTGGATCCTGCAGCACAAAATAATCCCAAGTCCATACGCTTGATTTGTTGTCTCGATGACAAGAAATTGCCCTGTGTTCCACCAGTTAGCATTAATATACCAGGTTAGTAATTATTAACAACATGAATAATTGCTTGAAATAAAATATCTGCATTTTCTTTTGCAGAGGATTATCCTTGGTCCTCACCAGAATGTTCCCTCATCGAGCATGATTATTCGGCAACACCCTTCTTAAAGGCCGTACAAAATGCCTTGGTGGCACGTATTGCCAAATTACCCAAATTACATTCGTTATCCCATCTGCTGGACACCTGGGAAATGTCGGTACGCCAGGCATGCTCACCAAATGCTGCAAAACCCGTTTGCGAATTTACCGCATTATTTGGAATGTAAATTACTCTTTCAATCACTCCATAATGCTAATTTAAGAATATTAAGATCATTTTTACAACCATAAGTTTAAGTTTAACTAATAATAACTAAAATAAAATGGAAGCCATCCCACGGATTTGAAACAAACAAACATGAGCTTCGAAGCAAGGTACATATGAAATGTTATTGCGTTCTTCTTGTTCTTCCCTTAGCTAAAATTGTATTTAGTACTTTGTTCCCAGTAGCCGTAGAACCTTTAATTTTTGATTTGATTTTCCCTTTTTTTAATTTTAAAATTTTGATTTCGTTCACAGCTCAAAGTGCTATAGAAAACATATCAGCTATGCAAAATTTCATTCATTAAAATCAAGCAAATATTCAAATAATTCATTCAAGAAATTCAAGAACTTAGAACTCAAGAAAAAGGTAAGTTGTTTATGCTTTGTTTCCATTGATCCAGAAATTTTTTGGCGTAAAAGATGGAAAGTGTGAAAATTGAAATATTTTTGCCACAGACTTGTACCCCATTTTATTTTTTTTTCACTTAAATTTTCAAATGTTTCGTAATTTTTACCACGGGATTCAACTTTCCAATTAGGTGGTTTTTAAGTTCATCTTCCTGCCTTCATTGAAAAGAGAAGAGTTTGTAATCTGGTATATAAGGCCTAGAGCTACGACAATTATCAATTATGTTGTTGTTTCAGCACTAATGTTACAAAATTTGCTGAGGTCAAATTTCGTGGCCCAGTAGAACTCGGTTCGTTTTGGATTGCAGTAATTACCTCTAATGTTGTTGTTTATTATGTTTGTGTGTGGATGATGAGGATTAGTCGAGAGTGGTAGGGAGTTAGCCACTTCAAATGGTCAGAGCCTCATATCTATTGGGCAAATATCTTCACCTCCCTTGATATTTTTGGTCTGAAGAGTTGAGAGTCGTTTATCGATTCTGTGCTCTGATAACTGCAGGGAGATTGCAGCAAACTTTAGATGATGATTTTAGTCAAATTTGGTACAAGTTAGTCCAAATTTGGTACTAGGAGTTTATAACAGGTTCTACCTTTGGGTGCAGAACATAGGCTGTATATGTTCACGTTTTAATATAGCATGTTGCTGTTTTAACTTCGGATTGTGTATCGTTCTTCGAATTTTTTTTGCAACGGACTTTAAGGCAATGGACTCCAAGGTAAAATAGATGAGATAGTGGAATTCATGAATCAGAGGAATATTTTGATCCCATCGGTGCAGGAATACAAGCTCAAAGAAAATTGCAGCCTACAACGTTGTTATAAGTATGTTCTGTTCCATATAGGTCTATCTCGCTTAGGGTAATCTGTAGTGACTCATTCATGGAATGTATGGTGGTAGCAGTCAAGTATGGAACTGCCGAGGTGCAGGTGCTTAAAGTGTATATCCCGCTTTTGGAAGACAATAACCACTTGGTACTAAGGAATTTCAATGTCCACCCAATGATTTATGACATTCCGTTCTAGGCAATAATCATAGGGGATCAGCGCTGGCAGAGAAGCTTGGCTGCTTTACAATATGCCCGGGAAACGAAGATGATAATGCCACCCGAATAAGAAGAGAGTATCACAGATCGCCAGACTTAATTATAGTGTCACCCGGTCTAATAAATGACATGGCATGGCAACCCATCATTTCTCTTGGGTCAGATAATCTCACGATAATCGGCTCATAACCTCTGAACGCCGCACTTTCCTTAACCTTGGGAAAACTCACTGACCAGAATTCAGTGAATTCACCAACCTTCGCTTTAGAGAACTGCCCAACCCTTCTGATGTTCGGGTTGTAGAAAGATTTTTCTGGTAGCCGAAAGGATTCTTCTGGAAAGAGAAAGCCACAACTATCAGTGATAAAATGAAAAGTAGGATCAAGGGCGCCAAATGGCAGTACTTGGGGTGCGGTCAAGGAGATCTTGTTGACTTCCTACAAAGAGTTAGTTCGGTCTTTGGTCAGCTATGCGGCTCCAGTGTGGTCTGCTAATACGAGTGCTACCCAGTGGAAGAATGCTGCCCTGAAAACTGCCTTCTAACCAGGGTGCCTTCACCAGTGAACCGTCTACATGAGGAGGCCAAGGTTCTTCTCGTATGCCAGAATAACCAGCATTTGTGGTAGTTTCGGCTTCCGTGTTATCGTTGGAGACATCCAAACCATCATATGTTGGATATAACGGCGTGTCTGGAAGGACATACAAGTTCAGTAGATGGAGGTCCAATGCTATAAGAAAAGCCTCAAGCAGGTCTGAGTAGTATTAATACTAATGCAGTCACAGCTACCATCAACATCTACAGTGTGAATGCCGTCCTTGAAGTTCATCTCCCATTAATGGCAGCTGAAGAACAACAGCTGTCTAGACAAACCAAAACACTTTTGGCACAGTTATGTTTAGAGTTTCAATTCGAACTGACGAAGATGTGCGAATCGCCTGCTTGGCGTGTGATATAGGCCCTTACAATACGATGCACCTCATTAATTGCCCGCAAACCTACCAGGATATTTTTGGTTACAGTCCGCGAAGGTTTACGAATTTTTAAGCCTGGTGGTAGAACCGGATAAACAGAATTAAGTGTATTTAAAGTTCGTAACGGATACTACAGCCTAAGACAGAAAATTGTCTGTGCAGGTCCACGTTTTCGTATAACCCTCATATAAAGGTACCTCCCGATATTCGGTATTTTTATGATTTTAGCAACGTTCGTTATTCCCGGGAATTGTTTCAAATTTGGTATTTAAAGTTCGTAATGGATAGTACAGCCTAAGACAGAAAATTGTCTGTGCATTTCCACGTCTTCGTATAGCTCTCACATAATGGTACCTCCCTATTTTCGGTATTTTGATGATTTTAGCTCCATTATTCACCGAAATTGTTTCAAATTTTGTATTTGAAGTTCGTAATGGATACTACAGCCTATGACAGAAAACTGTCTGTGCAGGTCCACGTCTTCGAATAGCCCCCATATAATGGTACCTCCGTATTTTCGGTATTTTGGTGATTTAAGCCACAATGTTCACCGGAATTGTATTTGAAGTTCGTAATGGATACTACAGCCTACGACAGGAAATTGTCTGTGTAGGTCCACGTCTTCGTATAGCCCCCATATAGTGGTACCTCCCGATATTCGGTATTTTGATGATTTTACCGACAATATTCACCGGAATTATTTAAAATTTGGTATTTGAAGTTCGTAACGGATGCTACAGCCTTTCCCATTTCCCCGCCCCCCAGTATTTAAAGAAATAAAAACACCATAATAATGATTAAGTTTTAGAATGATTTGGAAAATATAGTATATTGTTTTATTATTTTTTGTTTTGTTGGATAGGATGATTTTTTTCTTTTTTCATTTTTTTGTTCTTCTTTAAATCCTTTTCATATTTTTTCTCATTATTTTTTTTTTCTTCTTGGATAAAATTTTTTTTGTATTTTACAATATTTAGGTGAAAAAAGTTTTTATTTATACAATTGATAAGGGAGAGATAGTATAGATAGATAGTAAATATATAAAATAAATTAAATATTTGTTTCTTTAAAGATACTTTCTTATAGGCTTTTTCTTTGCGTGTGTTTTTTTTTTATTAAACACCTTAAGAATGAAATAAAAATTACAAAAATAAAAAAAAATAATAAAACAAAAAACTTAAATATCACAGTTTATATTTGTTATATATGTATTATAAAGTTATATATGCTAAAATTGTTTTTATTTTTTTTAAACATACTTTTTTGTTTTTATGCAATTTTTTTTAAATATTTTTTGATAAAAACAAAATAACGATAACAAAATGGCTGAATACGAAAATTTTTGTGGAAAGGAAAAAATAGAAAGAAATATTTTTTTAAATGAATTGTTCGGAAAGTTAAACATAAAATTTAAAATATTTGAAAAAAGAAGGGAAAATACTAAGCCATTTGTTGTTTTTATATAATAACCAAAAATAAAAAAGGAAGAAAGCAAGGAATACATATTGCGTGGGTACTTGAGTTTAGTGAAAATAACTTAGGGAAATATTAATTAATTATAATATTTTTTAAATTAATATTTTTGCAATTTTTACAGCAGTAAAATATTTTAAATTACAATTTTTTTCAACTATTTACGGATTTATCTGAATTGAAGTGATTAAGATTTTTATGGTATTCTTCTATTATTTTTAGAAAGAAATTATTCCAGTCAAAATCGCTTTTCTTTTCTCATTTTCAAAATTGTTCATTTTTTCCATTTTTTTTAAGAAAAATTTTCAAATTCCGTTTTTTCATTATTTTAGGCTTCAAAACGCTAATTTTTCCCATAACTTTTCTTTGCTCCAAGCTATTTGACTGGTTTCCAATTAGATTTTTTTAATTTCAAAGTTGGAAAAGATATTGTTGTTTTTTTGTTAAATTTTTGAAAACGCCTATAGGAAACATTTTGAAATTTTTAATACAAAATACTGTTTCTATTTAAATATTTGATTTTAAAGTCTTCAGGGTTTTAAAAAAAGGTTTCCTAGAAACGCTTTCATCGGAATGGTCTTTAAAAAGTGGTTTCTTCCTTTTTTCTGTGTTACGATAACCCTCTTCCAGTATTGAATTGATTTAGGATTTTGAAATGAGATTGGTTTTCTTATTTAAAAAAAGTATTGAAAATAGTAGTTTTGAAATTTACTGCTGTGGTATCATTTGGGCAAAATTTACGGCCGCCACCTGATGCTGATGGAGGCTTATCAAATCGCTGGCATTACAGATTTGCAACTGCAAAGCTGTGGGAGCCGTTGAGGAATTGGTATTGGCTCCATTAATTTGTACTGTATTCATGGTGTTTGTAGATGGTTGATGCTGATGATAGACATGATGACTGGGGGTGGTGGTGCTGGTGGTAGTGTTGCAAGCGGTTGCTGGTGCAATGGGCCTTAAATGTTTAATCATATTTGCCGTTCCATTGAGCATTGATGGCTCCACAACTAGGCCACTGCTGCTGTTGCTGCTGGTGTTATTCACAACAGGAGTAGCATTTACCATGGAGTTGATGCCACCCCCATTACGATTACATTCCTGTTGCCGTTTCGAGGCATGCCTCTTGACATGTTTGGACAAATGATCGCTGCGCATGAACTTCTTGTCACAAACATGGCAAACGAATTTCTTTTCACCCGTATGGGTTCTCTTGTGACGTGACAGCTCATCGGAACGTGAAAAACGTTTATCACAATTTTCCCATTTGCAGATGAAGGGCCTTTCGCCCGTGTGGACACGTTGATGGGCCTTCAAATGGCTGGATTTGAAATAGTTTTTACCGCAATCGGGATGATTGCATTCATAAATGCGTTTACGTTCAGCTGAAGCGGCGGCAGCAGCATTGGATGTGGCGGGAGTTGTATTCTGTTGAGATGTAACATTGGAAGGAGCTGTGACGGCAGGAATTATGTTGTTACTGAGACTTTGCAGCAAAACATTGGGCAGCACAAATTGTGAGGTCAACAAACCCTGATTGGTTTGGTGGGGTGCTGCTGCCAGTATCTGATACTGCAACGAGGCCGCCACATTGTGGCCATTTAGGGGGGCGGAGGCGGTAGGCATGGGACTTGCATTTGGCAATGTAAAACGGAATTGTTGGGAAGTATTTTCTGGATTTTTGGTTTCTAATAATACTTGTTGTTGTTCTTCTTGTTCTTCTTCTTTTGTTTGGGGTACCACGGATTCCACGACTGAACAGCTGTCCTTAATTTCCGCCGCCGTTGTCTTCACATCCTGTGTTAATTCAGAATCTGAATTGAAGTCTGTAGTCTCTGTGGCCGTTCGCTTGCGATTCATTTTAAATTTTATGCTACGGTAAACATTGGTCTGTGAACTGCTGTCATCCGCATCCGAGGATAACGACGAGGCCGCCGACGAGCAGCTGGATACGCTGGATACTGTGGAGGGTGTTTGTGAGATACTGGATATGGTTGATGAACAGGAATTTTCATCAATGGCCGAGCAAATGCCGGAACTGTTGACATGCATTATAACACTGGCCCGTTGCGGCTGTTGCTGCTGGGCTAATAAATTGGGTGTTGTGGCCGGTGTGGGTATATCCAGTTTTTGTTTTTTCACAACCGGTGGCTTACCACAATCCACAGCATCATCTTCCGTATCTGAGGGTTGGGGTGTAATGAGACCGGCATTTGAGGATTTGTGGTGTTTTTGTTGCTGCTGCTGATCCAATTGCAGTTGGAGTTTGGCCTTTAACAGTTTGTCGTCCAAGTTGTGGGACACTGTGTGGGCATTCTGCAAAGAAAAAGAAAGGGGGAAAATTAGTATCAGGTTTCAAGGTTTCAAAAATTAAATTAAAAATTTTTTTTATTCAAAAAAATGTAAAAACATTTTTTTTTAATTTTTGAAAATTTAAAAAAAGCAATGGCTTAAAATTTCTAAAATATTTAATTTTCCTGTATTTTTTAAATACTTTTTTATTTTTGAAAATTAAAAAAAGCATTGGCTTAAAATTTTTTATATATTTTTTCATTCATTTTTCCAAAACAAAATAAAAATCCCCTTTAAAATTACCATTTGCCGTTTGAACTGTACCCTTTTTGGTACTGTACACAAATTTCACATGAAATCAAAAAATTCCCTCATTTTTTGGGGGGGGTGATGTCACCACTGTTTGGTTGTTGCCTTTGCTAACATGTCTAATGCAAACACACTTTGCATTCAAAGGCAAAAATTCTATGTCATTCCCTCGCCAAAACAGTTTCACAACATTCAAGTTGTTCACATTGCTGTCGCTCTTTACAATTTCATTCATTCACAACATGACACTGTCAAATAAATACGTACAATGCACGTCCAACCAGGCGCACACAAAATCCAGCAGGTATTTCAAAAAAAAATGTGCCAAATAATTTCACAATTCACAGTAAAACAGCAAAAGAGAAATCATTACAAATATCTATTTCTCTCTCATCATCTCATCTACACCACAATTTTGAGAGAGAGCTATTCTCTCACAAAATTTTTATACATTTGCACTGAACCAAATTCCATTAACCAAAAGAAAACGAAGAGGAAGAAGAACAAGAACAGCCAGGCCAGACCTGTATCACGCATTCACTGCATGATTTTGTTGTGTGATGGCGTAGTCACTATTCGTATTGTTGTTATCATTGCCTGATTGATGGTGGTTCGGTTTGCCGATTCAATGGTCTAACTACGTCATATGATGGCATGGCCAAAAACAACAAATAAGAATGCTTGTTTGTAAAGAAAGCAACAACAACGAAACGACCGCATGAGGAATGTTGGTATGTCATGTCATAGAAAAAAACGGGCTTGGTTGGATGTCCGTCTCTCCGCTATGATGGCAGAAAAAAAGTATATTGTACAACAACACAGAAAAAACGCGCCATTTTCGTACAAGCATCAAGCCAACAACAATAAACACAGGGCCAAGATACTCCCTCTTTTTTTGAAATACCAGGCGCAAAGAATAAACGAAAAGTAAGCAAAATAATGACTACAAAAATATAATATTTACGTCGTCAACAAATGTGGTGGCTGGCCAGGCCACTTCTAATAAGAAAATGTGCCTTTAGTATTTTTCTCTCTCTCAAAATAACCACCACTCAATGCCTTTAATGGTGAGCAAACCTTTTTTTCTTTTCTCCCCTACTCACAGAGTATCAAAGAAAACAAATCCCCAACGTAGCGGACCATACCCCCAAAACACAACACATACTCATGATACTACGTAGTGGATTACACACCAACACGACGACTTGCTCTCTATCTCTCGTGCCCTCTCTGTTGTGTTTTGTGCTCAGTCATTGGGTTTTTTTGGTACATAAGTTTGCCACTTCTTCTGCCAAAGCTCTTACTCTGTGTGTGTTGGATTTTGTTTTCTCACAGAGTTATGTTGTTTTTGTTTTTTTTTGTATGCGAGGAGGTTTAGGTCGTTCATTCGTTTGTTTATATGGCACACACATAAATTCAAACGGTGGCGGCGACGGCGTCTGTTGTACTTTATACTTGTGTATTATTTTTTGTTGTTGTTGTTGCTGTTGTTTTTATTGTATCACTCATCCACTTCATGGCTGTGCCATTCAGTGTTCACGTGAACACCAGCTGATAGACGAATGATTACTGCGTGATCAGAGTGTGGCCAATGTGTTAGACAAAGAGGGAGAACATTTGTTTTCAAATTTTTTGCCAGACAGAAAGAGACAAGGCAAAATATTTATAGGTAACACAGAAAACAAAAAAAAAAACTGGGTAATAACAATAAAACACACTGAGATATATACAACAAAAAATATATATACAAATGATACAGTCAGAGGTTGTTATAATGAAATAATTTTAATAAAAATATGCAATGTTATTTGATTATGAATTGTTTTTTTTCACAATTTTTTTGTTTTATTGTGTGTGGTTGTCATGATTCGTCATAGACGACGATTTTATTTGAGGGTGCGACATCCAAGTAATAAAAAATAGGCGATTTTTTGTTGTTATCGTTCGTCCTACCTAGTATTGGAAATTATCTTGGAACGTGTCGTTGAGACATGGCGTTGTTGTTGCTCCTCTTTTTTGTTAATAAATCAATTAAATTATTGAAACCAAATTTTGCAGGTCATTGTAAGACAAAATTGCGATGGGGAAATTTGATTTATTTAATAAACATGAAATAAAATTTCCCATAAAAAATTTATTTTGTTTATGGATTAAAAATAAGTATATTTTTGCAGACAAATAAATATAAATTTCGTCTGTGGATTTAAAAATATGATTTTGGGAATAAACGTATTTTTGTTATATCTTTTAAATGGGTGTTAAAATTAATTAAATATATATTTTTTGTCGTATTTTTGTTTCGATTTGAAATTCATTAGGTTTTAACCTGTTGCTGCTAAAATAATGCAAAAAAAATCACTTTGAATTTTTTTATAGGAATTTTATATTTTTTCACCGGATTTAAGAGAATGTTACATTTCTGAGATCTACATGAGATTCTGAATCATTTGGTGGAAAAAATAAAAATTTCCCTCGTGGGAAATTTTAAGGGAAATTTTAATATTCCATGTAAATTGACAGGTATCAATGGGAAATGGAGGAGTATGAAATATTTACCCTAAAATAAGAAATCTTAGAGTGATTTCTGGCCCAAAAAACGATTTTTGAAAAATTTTTTTTTTGAAAAAAAATTAATTTAAAAAAAAATTGAATAAAAATCAAAAAATTCAAACTTTTTCTAGTTTTTTTATCCCAGCGTAAAAATTTCAAAACACCTGTTTCCTATCATTATGGCCTTTGGGTATGACCTAGGTCTACATATGACCCCAAAAATTGTAAATACCAGTTTTTTACAATTTTTACTTGAAATCAATTTTTTTTTCTAATTTCACTCTCAAATAATAAAATTTCTACCTATATTTTGAAAATCATGAATTTTTTTTTTTCAAAATTTTTGGAAAACAAAAAAAAAAAATCCCTCCATGGGAAATTTTTATTTGGACTCCAAATTTCGAAATTCTTGCATGTTTTGGTATTTCTTCTCACTAAACCATGATTTCGGGTGGAAACAAAGATTTCCCTAAAAATTTCCCAAATGGGAAATTTTGATTTTTCCACGTGAAATGGTATAATTCAAACTCTAAACACTAAATATAAGGGATTTTTTTTTAAAAATCTGACAAAATCAAAATTTTCCGTCAAGGTAAAATTTTAATATTTTAGTAATTCTAGAATTTATGGCTTTGAAATATTGATTTTAATTTCTCTTACCCAAAAAAAAAAAATACTTACATTTTCATTTTTGTTTTCGCACAATGGCGGTGTGGCCGGTGGTGAGGGTAATAGAGCAATATCCATTTTTTAATGTTTGTTTGTTGAATTTTCACAAATTGTTGTTTAAAATTGTTGTTAATTAAATCCGTTTCTATGGAGTTTCTTTTCTTCTTCTTCTTCTTGATTTTTTTTTTCAAAATTGAGTTTTTTCACTCTTGTTTGTTTTTATTTGTTTCACTTGTTTTTCTTTTTTTCAAGATATTTTCTCAAAATTTGTTCTGTGATTTTTTGTCTCACTTTTTATTAATTCTTGCATTAATTTCATTTATTTGAAATTTTTTATTCTGTTTTTCAAATTTTTTCAAAATCTTTGTCACACACTGACGACAAGTGAGAGAGAGAAATACAACCGTTCCGTTGAACAATCAACAAACGAATGAAAACATATCACAAATTCATTTCAAAAAGTTAAGTTAGGTTGGCTGGTTGACTGTCTGGCTTGCCTTGCCTTGCCTTCTGTTGATGTTGGGGAGTGAGCGCCAAACACCAACCACACACAGTATAAGTAGCCGCCGTCGTAATATTTTGTATCTGTGTGTCCGTGTCGTCTCTTCTGGGCGTTGGTAGTATGGGTTGGATTTCTCATAGATATTTTGTTGTGAGGAGTCACGACGACACAACTTTACGTCAGCCATACCGACCCTACATACATACGTTCGTAGTAGGTTGTAGTTGTTGCTGTTCCTGTTGTAGTAGTGGAATCTCATTGAAAAAGAAGGCTCGCTTGCTGTGATGGCCTGGCCTGGCCTGTCGGTTCGTTTGGGTTGTTGCTGTTTTTGCAGCAACAACGACGACGACGAAAAAAACCCCACAAACTTCGATAACCATCCACAACAGTTGTGTGCATGTGTTGTCACCACTGCTGCACACATGTTGTAAGTATGTTTGTATGTGGCAATGTGCATTTAAAAATAGGGGCCAGCCAACCAACTGAGTTCTTTGTGAAATTTTGCGGACTTTGTTTTGGGGTGTGTAATACGAGCAAAACATAACATCGCAAACACTAAAAAAAAAACAATCACCACTTACTTTTCCCCTCCGCTCAAGTGAGTGTCACTGCTGGGATTCATGTAGAATGGTCATGCATGTTGTAGGTAGTTGTGTAGGAAGGTTTTGACGTTACCGCTTGCTTCATGGTTCTTTTTGTTTTTTTATATTCACAGAAACATACCTCTGAAGGTTTGACTGATGTTCTTGTTGTTGTAATTTCACCTCAAATGACAGCAGTGACGAAATCTCTCGTTGGCAAATTGTGCCAAGTTTGTACTTGTGATCTGGTGGGAAACGTCACACTTTGTTTTACTATTTAGGGTACCTTACATATCTACCTAGCGATCTAACGGAAAATACGAGGGAGAGTATTATAAGTTGTAATATCACTGATCCAGGACTTCGAAGTCAGAGCCTATGGGGTTATAGGTAGACAATTTTGTTGACACCTCGAAATCCCAAAAAACCTACCACAACTCCGTTTATACCCTTCACCATAAGATAGGGGAGGAGTGCCTTTATTAAATTCGTAACACCATTCGCAACATTTTGAAAAGTTTGTTAGAGATCCTATAAAGTTTATATACCAGAGACGTACACAGAAATGCCTTTCGAAAACATTTCGAGGGGCCCAACTGTTACAACTACATTTTCCATTCAAACAAGTAATAAAGCTGTATGTTCAGTCGGGCCGATCTTGAATACCCTCCACCATTTGGAACGAATTTGGTAATTTAAAAAACAAATAAATAAATAAAAAAAAAATCGAACAGTGTTGGCTTGTTTGTTCGGGATACCGTAGTATTTTGTTGTTGCAAAATGGTCAGGCTTTATCCCTTTATTGGAAACTGATGAGGATTGGTGGCTCTACCAAAGACGTGAAGCTGTACAAAACACTTTCTGTTCTAGACTGTAGTATCCATTACGGACATAAGATTGCAAATAATTCCGGTGAATAATGTCGCTAAAATCATCAAAATACCGAATATCGGGAGGTACCGTTATATAAGGGCTATATGAAGACGTGGACCTGCACACACAATTTTCTGTCATAGGCTGTAATATCCATTTTGAACTTTAAATACCAAATTTGAAACATTTCCGGTGAATAATGTCGCTTATGCACCATTTTGTACCTTTTAGTACTTTTTGTAAAATTAAAAAGGTGCCAATAGTAATGTGTACGATTTTGTACCTTTTAAGTACATTTCGCACCCTTGAGTGCGAAGCCCCGGAAATTTCGCCCTATAAAGCCCTTTGCACAACGTTCGAGGCATTTTCGACCCAAATAAAAAAAGTTTAAAAAAAAAACAAATTTCTAGTTTTTATCGACGGGAGTCTGCAATGCCCTGACGTGTGCCATTTTAAATGAGGGTGTTTCGAGACAACAATAGGCAATACTTCAGATTATTGCAGATATGAAGCTAGACTGATTTAGCACTCCTGCCATCCTGGGGGGCCAACAGCTACATAGTCGGTTAGATAAGATAAGACCTCACTCTCTATTCGGGAGATGCCGCCACTGATAAAATGAAGGCCAAATCCAAAAAGGCCAGGGCCAAAAAAGGATTTGGGCTACAAGGAACTTACTGCAGTTGAGCATCCATCCAAACTTAATATAAGGAGTTATAGCTTATCAGAAAACAACCTGAAGTTAGTTAGGAGGTTCAAAATAAATTGCTCAAACGCACTTTTCAGGGAACTGCCGATTAGCAAAATCCCCGCTTATAGAACAGCAGTGAAATCTGTGAAGGTCCCCAAAGGGGCGACGATTGTGGCAAGCTCCTGTTCATCTGGAAAAGTGCTTGCGATGAAAACAGGGCCTAAGCAGTCTTCCAAGAGTACAATTAAGGTTCCAGAACCGGCGATACTATCCTCCAATTTGGAAGAAGTCTGCGGGAAAGATGAGTAAGACGAAGCCTGCCTCAAAATCCTCCAAATCGGCTCAGCTAAACGCATCAATGCCTTCACTATTTCTACCCACTGCAAGGGTTAGGAAGGTGTAGAAACAAATGGGCAGGAAAAAATCGATTAAGAATTCAGCTACAACAAGCGAGCAGAAGAACGCAGTCTGCTGAAGTGACAACTTCGTCAAGGGGAATAGTCGCCAAATGGAAACAAAATTGAGATAAATGAAAATGTGACGACGTCCGTCTCGTAAGCACACTGATGAGGAGACGAAATCTGACACGGCCCGTACTGCTTAGCAGAAACCTTGTGACCCAAGGCTGAATCAGGATTGTCCAGCTAGTCAACGGATAAGAGTAGTGGTCCTGAGAGTAGCGGTCATTGATCAATCTGATCCCAATGAGTTCATCAGGAAGGAATATTGATTGCTGATCGACGGGTAGTTCCGGTTCCTTCCAAAGGCCTTCCTGCAGGCGGCCTATGGATAGAGTTTCTCAAACGAAACTTCTATACATTGAAACCTCTTTTATGGATAGAAGACCTCGAAATCGAGTAAAATTTTGGGAGTAACAAATTGGGAGCAGAAAACAATCGACCAAACAAAATTTTTCGATTCCACTCGAATGTGAGATGGCATATTTTCTTCATATTCCTTCAAAATCGAGCAGATTCTACTCTTGCCGAATACTCTTAGTTTTTGTTCTACCGTTTTTGAATTTCACAAGATCATCTCCCTCTTCCCACGACTTTTACAGTACACAGCAACATCAAAACCAATTTGAAAAATCAGAAAACAAAATATTTTTCACACTCATAAGAACAAACTCTGTTTAAGTATTCAAACAGGAGTGACTAGGAAGTGTTCTTACACAAAACAAATGAGTAAAGAGTAGACTCTGTAAAAAACTCCCACTCTTCACAAAAATCATGCTCGATCCCAAGTGAAAACAAGCAAAACTGTGTCAGAATAGAGGAATCTATGTACGGCTTACATGTATAGAAAAGGTCTTCTATACATAGAAGTCTTTCTACAAGCTCCCTATAGCTCAAAAATCCCCAGAAAGTTTTCTTTATAGAAGCACTACAATAGGTCTTCCACGGATTGAAGACCTCCAACATTTTTTCTATAGATAAAATATATAGATCTTTGAAATATATAGATTTTGTTCTTTTTCTACACATTTTTTTTTCGGACATCAAAACAAAAAAAAGACTTATGTCCATGATTTCAAAATCAATTCCGGAAACCATTAATCCAATCATAAATTCATTCGATCAGTGGTCGAATCGTCAGTGTTACCTCATTCTAATGCCGCTGTGGGTTACAATCTATGGGTAATGCCCACATTTTTTTTATAAACTTATTTATGTGTTCATGGTGTTTCGTTTTTTTGTTCTTCTAATTACTCACATACACCTCTTGGTGAGCTATTGTGAAATTGTAAAATAAAAAAAAAAAAAATATTCAGTTTATTAAACAAACAGCAATTGTAGACTCTTAAGACATACGAATCTCGCATATGACGTTTTTATTGTTAAGTAAACACAATGCCTAGTAGAAAAAAAAAAAAAAAACAGGGAATTTTCCGTTTAGAAAAAAAAAAAAACTCTTTATTTAAAAAAAATAATTATTCCATAAATTGAGGAGAACAATTGCTGCTGTATAATAATGTGAATTTTGCCCGGTATTGGCAGAATGACATTTGTCAAGAAACTGTTTTGTAACGGCTAGACAGAAAATTGACAAGAAATTTGAATTTGCATACAATTTTTTTTTATTGGAGAGGTAGACTTTAGATCGATTATCGATTGATAGCAACTATTGAGAACTTGGATTGATTGAGAAAAAAAAAACGAGATAGTGATTTAAGTATTTCAAAATGTGTGTTTCAAAATATTTTCCATAGCTCGAAATGCACTTTACCCTAACGACACACAGGGTGAGATAAAAAAATTCTGCAACAAAGTCAAACGCCATATTTTTTTCATTTTTTCTTTTTTTAAATTTTATTGAATGAAACAAAAAATGTCGGAAATTGTATCAAATTTTAGAATAAGTTTAGATTTGTTCGAATCACCTCCACTGGCACGAATTATGGCCTTTAAACGGCCAATGAAACCAAATGTTGCTCTGCGGTATTTTGGGCCATTCCCGGCGAAGCGCTTGCTTGAGGTGATTGAAACTTGGGTATTTTTTAGTACCAACCTTGCTTTCCCAAAATACTCCAGACACAATAGTCCAACGGTTTGGTATCCGGAGATTTTGGTGATGGTGCTGAGTACTGATGGTATGTTCAAGGTCTGCAGCCAAAATGTTTGCATGTCCAAGGCTTTAGACCCTCCAGAATATTTTCGCGATAATATTCGGCATTTATTCTGATGTCGATTAATACGAGGTGAGAGCGACCATCGGCTGTTACGGCGGTCCACACCATCTCTCACCAATGTTCTCTCATCGGAGAAAACCAAATTCGGCAGTTCACCACTTTCGGCCAAGCGAAGGAACTCTTTTCTCTCTGTTGCGGTGTAAGTTCTTGCACTTTTTGGAATTTAA